ATATATATATATATATATATATTAAAATAGCAAATCTTAAAGAACATGCACACGAGAGATCAACCAGTTTCAGTTCGACGATTCTACCGAAGCGTACAAAGCTGTGGACACAGGCCGAAATAAAGAGTCAGAGCACAACTGAAAATTGGAAAAACCTTTGTAGGAATCTGCATTTATTTAAAGTCTAGATATATTCATACAGCTCTCAAATAGAGAAGCAGACGGTTGTAAATCAGCGTGTGTGTGTGTGTGTGTGTGTGTGTGTGTGTGTGTGTGTGTGTTCCAGCTGCCTTTTGCACGCCTGCATATAAATTATGTGCTTACAGACTGTGATGGACACATAAAGAGCAACAGAGACACTATAGGCAGAGGCAAACTGAGTGTGAACGTATCTGAATCCACACCATTGTGGGATTACACTGTGTATAGAAACGTGTCATATTTTAAATAACTGCAGTAACACGTGTTCCGTTTAGTTTTTAAACCTTAAAATGTATGTGAAAATATATTTTATGTCATCTCTGCTGATGTTCGTGTGGGAAAAAAAAAACTATAGTTACTTTTATTTGATTTGACCAAATATTAGTTTGTTGTCTAATAAAAGTATATAGACTCAGGAAGTATCTATATGTATGGGACTGGGTCTGTAAAGTCTTTGTGCATGAATGCCTAAACACATCAATATGTTTGCATTGCATGTACGATATACATTCTCTAAACAGAATCACGTTCATACATACAGGTATTTCCAGATGTTTAACGAGTGTTTATGTATCCCTGCATTGCTGTTGGTGTGACTGTCAGTGCACGTGTCTGTGTTAGTCGCTGTCTTCTCTCTCGTGAGTCTCAGCCAAGGAGCTCTCGTCGATGTTCTCCAGGCTCTCCGCGTGTTGAATGCTCAGCTCAGAGAGGGGGATGTTGGGTAATGTAGTCTGTTCAGGGTACAGCCAGGGCTTCAAACCAGGGTTATGTCTCTGCTTCCACTCTGAATACTTCAAACAGGCCTTGTTGATCTTTTTCATTGCCTGGACAAACAAAACAAAACAAAAAAATAATAAAGGGACAACATGCATGATTATTATAGAGATCTGCGATGGTCTTTAGCAGAGAGCTAACAGAAAGGATAGAAAAGATTGTTAGAAAATCATTTTTCTTTTAACAGAAAAAAGTGAACTGGGTTGAACTTGACAGACATGAATCATAGAATTCATAAAGATGAATTAATGCAGAGACGTAAGAAGGATTGGTGTAAAAAGACCACAAAGACTATGACTGTTGAACCGTGTTGAGCCGCAACAAAAACTGTTTTTTATCCTGAAAATCAACTTTGTCATAACATGTTCAATAGAATCTGCATGCATCTGTTCATAATTTAATAAATCTTAAACTCTGTTTTTTATTGGTTTAAAAGGAAACTAAAATTACATTTTTTGTTCATCTCTCTAAGCAGCTCTCATCCATCCAAGGCCACTCTGTGCAAAGTCTGCCCAATCACAACACACATGTAAAACCAAAAACACAAAACAAACAAACAAAAAAAACTGTAAGCACACATTAAGAGAGGCATAATACCACGTGGACAAATACAAACGCTCACAGCATCCTGTTCATATGACTTACACGAGGAGCGAGGAAGTGAGACGACTTGTTGACCACCCACTTGGGTAATGAACCTGTAAAAACAGAGTCAGAGGAATAAGACGAGAACAGTGAGGGTGGCAGAATCAAACGCAAAAAGGATGAGGAGGCTTGAGTTTAAGACGTGTCACATTAAAGGCATCAAAGAGGGGCTTAGTAACCTGCTACTCACTGCATGCTTGTACACACACACACACACACACACACACACACACACACACACACACACACACACACACACACACACACACACACACACACACACACACACACACACACACACACACACACACACACACACACCAGGTAGTTATATAATTTACACAATCAGCACTTGCATTCAGAGGAGCGACAGTGAAGAGGTGATTTCAGAGAAACTAACCGAAATGAGGGATAAAATGGAAAAGGAACAGGTAAAAGAGAGATGGTGAAACAGACCATCCTTGATATGGTTACTATGATGACTCATTTTCAATCAAACAAATTTATTTCGAACATGATGACCATACAAAGAGATAACCATACTTATTAAACATATTACACATATTAAATACAAAATACACATATTTTATGACAATAATAATCTCAACATGTTCAAAATGGAGTAGGGAGAAGTAAAAAAACTTATAAACTCCTTCCCCATACTATTTTCAAATAATATATAATAATAAACCTCAGGCTGACTTAGTAAATTGTTAAATTACAATGTAAATTTATATTTACCCTTGTACAACCCTTTGTGTTACAATCACTCATATCTACACATTAAAAGATACATAAACACATGAATCTAATGCACCTGAACAAACATCAAGATTTAATAAATCTATTTCCATTTCACAGTTGCCTTTTTTGGCATAAGCGCACTATACGCACATATTTGTGGTGATTTATTTTGACATATAGGCAGAGAGTGAATCATTTATAGAGTGTGCGTTAAGCACCTGGGTGAGTGAACTAGTAGGTTTCCATCAATATGACTGTGTGCGCTCTTTGTAACCTTGTGTGTGTGATTTACCTCGTGGGTCTACCTGGGCCATGTAAGTAAGGGTACAGTGACTGGGACCCGTGCTCTGGATCATGTAACCTGTCTGGAGGGAAACGGCTCGCACCATGTCCTTTTTGGGTGGGTATTTCTGTGGAGACAACGACGACACATTTATGCACTTGAGGAACCTTTTAATCCCTGGATTTAATTTAACAGATAACATTTTTAACAAGGTTTGCATGCATGCTTATGAAAGTTAAAGAGATCAGAACTTGGGTTTCTGTGGAACAAATCCCATCTGGCCTGTTGGTGACAACTCTTTGAATGGTTTAGACAAATTGAGCCGACGGCTAGTCTACACAGGGCCAAGACCAAAGTGAATTGCTGCTTGGTGCTAGCTGCTTCAGGTGCAGCCTGAGACACTTCCTGTTGTATTATCAGACTAATTAATAATGCAAACAGTGATGTAAAGATGTATAAAACAGTGTTCACATGAGCCTCTGTGAACACTGAGTTTTCAGTTATATGACAGTGGTAATCCACTTTGGTCTTGATGTTGCTTGAATTAAATGTTAGCTTGTCAGTCTGCTCAGAATTTAATTATATTTCTACACAATGAGGTCAACCAAACAATTGTCTGAACCAGGGAAGATGATTGTTTTTGGAGCCCCACTTCAAAACATTTGAACTTTAACCCACATTAATGAGTGTGCATCATAAACACGTGCAACCATGATGATCAGATGGCTCATTTTCTGATTTCAGCCTCACCAGAATGACTGCGTCGCAGACCAACAGTCAAAGTGTTAACTGTTACCAGCACAGTAACCCTAAAATGTATTAGTCTTTCATTTTTAGGCTGTAGCAGCTTTACTGTCTTACTTTAATTTTTTTCTGCACAATGACAACGAAAGCACAAAAGAATACCCTGCTAGCTCCTTTCCACCATATAGCTACTGTGCCTATAAACAGTGTTCACTCCCTGGGATGTTTTATGCTTTTATTGTTGTCATAAGTCAGTCACAGTCAGAAAGCAATAAAAATGTGCTTCATTGTCAAAATAATAATAATAATAATAATAATAAATTTTATTTGTAACGCACCTTATATTTCAAAGAAATCTCAAAGTGCTACAGAGCCAGGAAACAACACAAAAATATTCAAGAGTATTGACTTAAAAAATTCAATAAAAACATGACAGTACAGTAATACATCTTGCACCAAATGGTATCAAAACAAGCATTAACACTAACAATTTAAAACAAAACATTACAGTTCTAAAAGGACTGTTTAAAAA